AGAAGTGCTTAGGTTGTGTGGGTTAGGAGTGCTCAGGTTGTGTGGGTTAGAAGTGCTTGAATTGTGTGGGTTAGAAGTGCTTAGGTTGTGTGGGTTAGAAGTGCTCAGGTTGTGTGGGTTAGAAGTGCTTGAATTGTGTGGGTTAGAAGTGTTTAGGTTGTGTGGGTTAGAAGTGCTTAGATTGTGTGGGTTAGAAGTGCTTAGGTTGTGTGGGTTAGAAGTGTTTAGGTTGTGTGGGTTAGAAGTGCTTGAATTGTGTGGGTTAGAAGTGCTTAGGTTGTGTGGGTTAGAAGTGCTTAGATTGTGTGGGTTAGAAGTGCTTGGATTGTGTGGGTTAGAAGTGCTTGAATTGTGTGGGTTAGAAGTGCTTAGGTTGTGTGGGTTAGAAGTGCTTGAATTGTGTGGGTTAGAAGTGCTTAGGTTGTGTGGGTTAGAAGTGCTTAGGTTGTGTGGGTTAGAAGTGCTTGAATTGTGTGGGTTAGAAGTGCTTGGATTGTGTGGGTTAGAAGTGTTTAGGTTGTGTGGGTTAGAAGTGTTTAGGTTGTGTGGGTTAGAAGTGCTTAGGTTGTGTGGGTTAGAAGTGCTTGAATTGTGTGGGTTAGAAGTGATTAGGTTGTGTGGGTTAGAAGTGCTTAGGTTGTGTGGGTTAGAAGTGCTTAGGTTGTGTGGGTTAGAAGTGCTTGAATTGTGTGGGTTAGAAGTGCTTAGATTGTGTGGGTTAGAAGTGCTTAGGTTGTGTGGGTTAGAAGTGTTTAGGTTGTGTGGGTTAGAAGTGCTTAGGTTGTGTGGGTTAGAAGTGCTTGAATTGTGTGGGTTAGAAGTGCTTAGGTTGTGTGGGTTAGAAGTGCTTAGGTTGTGTGGGTTAGAAGTGCTTGGATTGTGTGGGTTAGAAGTGCTTAGGTTGTGTGGGTTAGAAGTGCTTGAATTGTGTGGGTTAGAGGTGCTTAGGTTGTGTGGGTTAGAAGTGCTTGGATTGTGTGGGTTAGAAGTGCTTAGGTTGTGTGGGTTAGAAGTGCTTAGGTTGTGTGGGTTAGAAGTGTTTAGGTTGTGTGGGTTAGTAGTGCTTGAATTGTGTGGGTTAGAAGTGTTTAGGTTGTGTGGGTTAGAAGTGCTTGAATTGTGTGGGTTAGAAGTGCTTAGGTTGTGTGGGTTAGAAGTGCTTAGGTTGTGTGGGTTAGAAGTGTTTAGGTTGTGTGGGTTAGAAGTGCTTGAATTGTGTGGGTTAGAAGTGCTTAGGGTGTGTGGGTTAGAAGTGCTTAGGTTGTGTGGGTTAGAAGTGCTTGGATTGTGTGGGTTAGAAGTGCTTAGGTTGTGTGGGTTAGAAGTGTTTAGGTTGTGTGGGTTAGAAGTGTTTGAATTGTGTGGGTTAGAAGTGCTCAGGTTGTGTGGGTTAGAAGTGCTTGAATTGTGTGGGTTAGAAGTGTTTAGGTTGTGTGGGTTAGAAGTGTTTGAATTGTGTGGGTTAGAAGTGCTTAGGTTGTGTGGGTTAGAAGTGCTTAGGTTGTGTGGGTTAGAAGTGCTTAGGTTGTGTGGGTTAGAAGTGCTTAGGTTGTGTGGGTTAGAAGTGTTTAGGTTGTGTGGGTTAGAAGTGCTTGAATTGTGTGGGTTAGAAGTGCTTAGGTTGTGTGGGTTAGAAGTGCTTAGGTTGTGTGGGTTAGAAGTGCTTAGGTTGTGTGGGTTAGAAGTGCTTAGGTTGTGTGGGTTAGAAGTGTTTAGGTTGTGTGGGTTAGAAGTGCTTGAATTGTGTGGGTTAGAAGTGCTTAGGTTGTGTGGGTTAGAAGTGTTTAGGTTGTGTGGGTTAGAAGTGCTTGAATTGTGTGGGTTAGAAGTGTTTAGGTTGTGTGGGTTAGAAGTGCTTAGGTTGTGTGGGTTAGAAGTGTTTAGGTTGTGTGGGTTAGAAGTGCTTAGGTTGTGTGGGTTAGAAGTGTTTAGATTGTGTGGGTTAGAAGTGCTTGAATTGTGTGGGTTAGAAGAGTTTAGGTTGTGTGGGTTAGAAGTGCTTAGGTTGTGTGGGTTAGAAGTGCTTGGATTGTGTGGGTTAGAAGTGCTTGGATTGTGTGGGTTAGAAGTGCTTAGATTGTGTGGGTTAGAAGTGCTTAGGTTGTGTGGGTTAGAAGTGTTTAGGTTGTGTGGGTTAGAAGTGCTTAGGTTGTGTGGGTTAGAAGTGTTTAGGTTGTGTGGGTTAGAAGTGTTTAGGTTGTGTGGGTTAGAAGTGCTTAGGTTGTGTGGGTTAGAAGTGTTTAGGTTGTGTGGGTTAGAAGTGCTTGAATTGTGTGGGTTAGAAGTGCTTAGGTTGTGTGGGTTAGAAGTGTTTAGGTTGTGTGGGTTAGAAGTGCTTAGGTTGTGTGGGTTAGAAGTGTTTAGGTTGTGTGGGTTAGAAGTGCTTGAATTGTGTGGGTTAGAAGTGCTTGAATTGTGTGGGTTAGAAGTGTTTAGGTTGTGTGGGTTAGAAGTGCTTGAATTGTGTGGGTTAGAAGTGCTTAGGTTGTGTGGGTTAGAAGTGCTTGGATTGTGTGGGTTAGAAGTGCTTGAATTGTGTGGGTTAGAAGTGCTTAGGTTGTGTGGGTTAGAAGTGCTTGAATTGTGTGGGTTAGAAGTGCTTGGATTGTGTGGGTTAGAAGTGCTTGGATTGTGTGGGTTAGAAGTGCTTAGGTTGTGTGGGTTAGAAGTGCTTAGGTTGTGTGGGTTAGAAGTGTTTAGATTGTGTGGGTTAGAAGTGCTTGAATTGTGTGGGTTAGAAGTGCTTGGATTGTGTGGGTTAGAAGTGCTTAGGTTGTGTGGGTTAGAAGTGCTTAGATTGTGTGGGTTAGAAGTGCTTAGGTTGTGTGGGTTAGAAGTGCTTAGGTTGTGTGGGTTAGAAGTGTTTAGATTGTGTGGGTTAGAAGTGCTTGAATTGTGTGGGTTAGAAGTGCTTGGATTGTGTGGGTTAGAAGTGCTTAGGTTGTGTGGGTTAGAAGTGCTTAGGTTGTGTGGGTTAAAAGTGCTTGAATTGTGTGGGTTAGAAGTGCTTGAATTGTGTGGGTTAGAAGTGCTTAGGTTGTGTGGGTTAGAAGTGCTTGAATTGTGTGGGTTAGAAGTGCTTAGGTTGTGTGGGTTAGAAGTGCTTGAATTGTGTGGGTTAGAAGTGCTTGAATTGTGTGGGTTAGAAGTGCTTAGGTTGTGTGGGTTAGAAGTGCTTAGGTTGTGTGGGTTAGAAGTGTTTAGGTTGTGTGGGTTAGAAGTGCTTAGGTTGTGTGGGTTAGAAGTGCTTAGGTTGTGTGGGTTAGAAGTGCTTAGGTTGTGTGGGTTAGAAGTGTTTAGGTTGTGTGGGTTAGAAGTGTTTAGGTTGTGTGGGTTAGAAGTGCTTAGGTTGTGTGGGTTAGAAGTGCTTAGGTTGTGTGGGTTAGAAGTGCTTGAATTGTGTGGGTTAGAAGTGCTTGGATTGTGTGGGTTAGAAGTGCTTGGATTGTGTGGGTTAGAAGTGCTTAGGTTGTGTGGGTTAGAAGTGCTTAGGTTGTGTGGGTTAGAAGTGCTTATGTTGTGTGGGTTAGAAGTGCTTAGGTTGTGTGGGTTAGAAGTGCTTGAATTGTGTGGGTTAGAAGTGCTTAGGTTGTGTGGGTTAGAAGTGCTTAGGTTGTGTGGGTTAGAAGTGCTTAGATTGTGTGGGTTAGAAGTGCTTAGGTTGTGTGGGTTAGAAGTGCTTAGATTGTGTGGGTTAGAAGTGTTTAGATTGTGTGGGTTAGAAGTGCTTGAATTGTGTGGGTTAGAAGTGCTTGGATTGTGTGGGTTAGAAGTGCTTAGGTTGTGTGGGTTAGAAGTGCTTGGATTGTGTGGGTTAGAAGTGCTTAGGTTGTGTGGGTTAGAAGTGCTTGAATTGTGTGGGTTAGAAGTGCTTATGTTGTGTGGGTTAGAAGTGCTTAGGTTGTGTGGGTTAGAAGTGCTTAGGTTGTGTGGGTTAGAAGTGCTTAGGTTGTGTGGGTTAGAAGTGCTTAGGTTGTGTGGGTTAGAAGTGCTTGAATTGTGTGGGTTAGAAGTGCTTATGTTGTGTGGGTTAGAAGTGCTTAGGTTGTGTGGGTTAGAAGTGCTTAGGTTGTGTGGGTTAGAAGTGCTTAGGTTGTGTGGGTTAGAAGTGCTTAGGTTGTGTGGGTTAGAAGTGCTTGAATTGTGTGGGTTAGAAGTGCTTATGTTGTGTGGGTTAGAAGTGCTTAGGTTGTGTGGGTTAGAAGTGCTTAGGTTGTGTGGGTTAGAAGTGCTTAGGTTGTGTGGGTTAGAAGTGCTTAGGTCGTGTGGGTTAGAAGTGCTTAGGTTGTGTGGGTTAGAAGTGCTTAGGTTGTGTGGGTTAGAAGTGCTTAGGTTGTGTGGGTTAGAAGTGTTTAGGTTGTGTGGGTTAGAAGTGCTTAGGTTGTGTGGGTTAGAAGTGCTTGAATTGTGTGGGTTAGAAGTGCTTGAATTGTGTGGGTTAGAAGTGCTTGAATTGTGTGGGTTAGAAGTGCTTGAATTGTGTGGGTTAGAAGTGCTTAGGTTGTGTGGGTTAGAAGTGCTTAGGTTGTGTGGGTTAGAAGTGCTTGGGTTGTGTGGGTTAGAAGTGCTTAGGTTGTGTGGGTTAGAAGTGCTTAGGTTGTGTGGGTTAGAAGTGCTTAGATTGTGTGGGTTAGAAGTGCTTAGGTTGTGTGGGTTAGAAGTGCTTAGGTTGTGTGGGTTAGAAGTGTTTAGGTTGTGTGGGTTAGAAGTGCTTAGGTTGTGTGGGTTAGAAGTGTTTAGGTTGTGTGGGTTAGAAGTGCTTAGGTTGTGTGGGTTAGAAGTGCTTAGGTTGTGTGGGTTAGAAGTGCTTAGGTTGTGTGGGTTAGAAGTGCTTGAATTGTGTGGGTTAGAAGTGCTTGAATTGTGTGGGTTAGAAGTGTTTAGATTGTGTGGGTTAGAAGTGCTTAGGTTGTGTGGGTTAGAAGTGCTTAGGTTGTGTGGGTTAGAAGTGCTTGGATTGTGTGGGTTAGAAGTGCTTAGGTTTTTATTGTTGACTCCAGGCTAGAGCTGTACAAGAAGGTGCCCAACCTGAGGATTCTGGCAGCTGGAGGGGATGGAACCGTGGGCTGGATCTTGTCAACCCTGGACAGTCTTGGTGTTTCCCCTCCCCCTCCAGTCGGCATCCTGCCAATTGGAACAGGCAATGACCTGGCTCGCACTCTCAACTGGGGTGGGGTAAGTTCACCTGGGTGGGGTAAGTTCAACTGGGGTGGGGTAAGTTCAACTGGGGTGGGGTAACTTCACCTGGGGTGGGGTAAGTTAAACTGGGGTGGGGTAAGTTCAACTGGGGTGGGGTAAGTTCAACTGGGGTGGGGTAAGTTCAACTATGGTGGGGTAAGTTCAACTATGGTGGGGTAAGTTCAAATGGGGTGTGGTAAGTTCAACTATGGTGGAATAACTTCACCTGGGGTGGGTTAAGTTCACCTGGGGTGGGGTAAGTTCAACTATGGTGGGGTAAGTTCAACTATGGTGGGGTGAGTTCAACTATGGTGCGGTAAGTTCGACTGGGGTGGGGTAAGTTCAACTGGGGTGGGGTAAGTTCAACTGGGGTGGGGTAAGTTCAACTGGGGTGGGGTAAGTTCAACTATGGTGCGGTAAGTTCAACTATGGTGGGGTAAGTTCAACTGGGGTGGGGTAAGTTCAACTATGGTGGGGTAAGTTCAACTGGGGTGGGGTAAGTTCAACTGGGGTGGGGTAAGTTCAACTATGGTGGAATAACTTCACCTGGGGTGGGTTAAGTTCACCTGGGGTGGGGTAAGTTCAACTATGGTGGGGTAAGTTCAACTGGGGTGGGGTAAGTTCAACTGGAGTTCATCTCTCACAGCCTTTTTCCCTCCAACAAATGGAAATCTTTGGACCATAACACTTCCCTGTAGGCTGGCCATTAATTTAATTTGTAGGGGCTGACCAGTACTTTAATGTGTAGGGACTGACCAGTACTTTAATGTAGAGGGACTGACCAGTACTTTAATGTGTAGGGACTGACCAGTACTTTAATGTGTAGGGACTGACCAGTACTTTAATGTAGAGGGACTGACCAGTACTTTAATGTGTAGGGACTGACCAGTACTTTAATGTGTAGGGACTGACCAGTACTTTAATGTGGAGGGACTGACCAGTACTTTAATGTGGAGGGACTGACCAGTACTTTAACGTGTAGGGACTGACCAGTACTTTAATGTGGAGGGACTGACCAGTACTTTAATGTGGAGGGACTGACCAGTACTTTAATGTGTAGGGACTGACCAGTACTTTAATGTGGAGGGACTGACCAGTACTTTAATGTGGAGGGACTGACCAGTACTTTAATGTGGAGGGACTGACCAGTACTTTAATGTGGAGGGACTGACCAGTACTTTAATGTGGAGGGACTGACCAGTACTTTAATGTGTAGGGACTGACCAGTACTTTAATGTGGAGGGACTGACCAGTACTTTAATGTGTAGGGACTGACCAGTACTTTAATGTGGAGGGACTGACCAGTACTTTAATGTGTAGGGACTGACCAGTACTTTAATGTGTAGGGACTGACCAGTACTTTAATGTGTAGGGACTGACCAATACTTTAATGTGTAGGGGCTGACCAGTACTTTAATGTGTAGTGACTGACCAGTACTTTAATGTGTAGGGACTGACCAGTACTTTAATTTGTAGGGACTGACCAGTACTTTAATGTGTAGGGACTGACCAGTACTTTAATGTGTAGGGACTGACCAATACTTTAATTTGTAGGGGCTGACCAGTACTTTAATGTGTAGTGACTGACCAGTACTTTAATTTGTAGGGACTGACCAGTATTTTAATGTGTAGGGACTGACCAGTACTTTATTGTGTAGGGACTGACCAGTACTTTAATGTTAAGGGACTGACCAGTACTTTAATGTCTAGGGACTGACCAGTACTTTAATGTGTAGGGACTGACCAGTACTTTAATGTGTAGGGACTGACCAGTACTTTAATGTGGAGGGACTGACCAGTACTTTAATGTGGAGGTGCTGACCAGTACTTTAATTTGGAGGTGCTGACCAGTACTTTAATGTGGAGGGACTGACCAGTACTTTAATGTGGAGGGACTGACCAGTACTTTAATGTGGAGGGACTGACCAGTACTTTAATGTGTAGGGACTGACCAGTACTTTAATGTGTAGGGACTGACCAGTACTTTAATGTGTAGGGACTGACCAGTACTTTATTGTTTAGGGACTGACCAGTACTTTAATGTGTAGGGACTGACCAGTACTTTAATGTGGAGGGACTGACCAGTACTTTAATGTGTAGGGACTGACCAGTACTTTATTGTGTAGGGACTTGTCACAGGCTTTTCTCCTACCTTTCTATAACACACACACAAAACCAAAAATCAAGCCTTGTTCCTGCAATTTTCATATTTTATTGGTCCATACAAGCATCGTGTTCACCTCCAGACTTCGCCATGTTTTTTCGCCCCTCTATCTCTCTCTCGCTTCCTTTCCTTTCGCGCATGCGCACACCCACACTATATTCTATATTTTTATCTCGCCTTTTTATGACACACACTCGCAACATACATTCATAAACATTTAACTGTTATACGCCCTTCCTCCCGTTTAAAAAATTAATTTTTTAATTTTTTTCTAATATATATATATCACATTCACTATAAAATCTTCATTATACATGTAACAGTTAAATGAAAATCATGTTGAAAAAGAAACCTGCTAATGAACATCCTACATTATTTTATATGTACACTTACCAAATTAAAACAATGATATTCATACAATACATACCATATGTAACTTACCACATCTGTCAACTCATACTGCCATAATCATGTTTATTACTTAACAAGATATACAGTATACATACAAATCACAGAAATACAACAAAATGTATGTTCATTTTCATTACTAAATTAAAATAGTGGTAAAACATATTATACAAGTCATATTATGACTTATTCCTATCTTGCTCACATTTGTAAAATGTTAATGTTCTCTGGAAGTACACATCACATACTACATTATTCAAAATTTCCTTATAAGCATTGGCTGATATGTCTCAGGTCATTATTTTCTTTAGTCAGTTCCATGTTTGTTTTTTCATCTTCAATCTGTCTTGATAAGAAATCAGCTAGTGTATTGTGCTGTCCCTTTACAGGTTAGCTTTCCTTGACATAATTTTCCTAGACAAATCCATTTTCCTATGAAAGCAATATTTACCAAGTCAAAATTCCAAACACATAGTTAAGCTCTGTTAATTGAATACAACTTTAAACAACAATAGGATCCATTAGCATTACCATATAAAGTGTAAAAGAAATACACAACTGTTATGTTCATAAACATCAGTTAACAAAATACAAGGCTCAATAACAAACTAAACATTTGTTAACAAATTATGATAACAAACTCCATGCTTTAATTTAATTGGTTTTCTAACTTACAAATTTTTTAAAATCAATAACATGTAAAATAATGTATGTTAGTAGTACTCAGTGGTGGTAGTTATACTTTATATCACCGATGCTTAAGTACCAATGTACACAACATAAAAAGTAACAGATTTTGTTAGCCAAAAAGGAATGTGTAGAGCTAATCAATGAAATAAATTTTGTTTAAACTGCTGAGGTTGCTGATACAACTAAAGTGGTTAAAAATTATATTGTTACACCCACTAAACCAGGTTATATATGCATGATAACTGATGTTATATATTAAAGCGTGAAAGTAAAATCTTAAAGGAGTATTAAGTTCAGCATATTTATCTACAAAATTATTATAAAATTGCATAGTCCCAACAATGATTACACTTCTTTCTTTGTACTAGGAGTTTTGATATTTAATATTGTGTCCCTATTTCCTTCAGTAGGTCTAATTTCTTTATTTCCAACCTTAAATCCTAAGAATTCTTTTGTATGTACTCCCACATGCAGTTTCTTTCCTTATTCTTTCTAGTAGTTCTTTTAGTGTTTCTATGTGTTCTTGTCTCAACCGCTGCTCCAATTTGACTTTCCCATCTATCTATATCTTCCTCATTACTTTCTTTCACCTCCTTTACATTCCCAATAATCATATCTGCTATTGGTTCTTCCATGACCGCCACTTTATATTTACCTTTCAGCCAAGCAGAATCTATATCAACTACTGCTATCTCACACTCATCCTTAAATTTCTTGTTGGCATATGTCATCTTCATTATGCCAGGAATGTACTGTTCTGGTCTTGCAAGACTTTTCTCAACAATAATGCATGTGCAACCTGAATCTCTCCGACACATTACTCTGGTGTTGTTTACTATAGCTGGGAACATCTTCAGTGTTGTATTGCTTTGACTAACAGATGCCACCATCTCTGACCCTTCTACCCCTGCTGATGCCTCTTGATTGTTATTTCTACTATTTCTATTTTCTCCCCTGTTGTCTGGTCCCATTCTTGGCTGTCTACTTTGATTGTGGAATTCATTTCTACTTTGTCCACTATACTGTCCTTGTCTGTAATAATTACTTTGATTTCTGTAATTATTATTAGGTGCATAACCTCCTCTGTCATTATTGCTGAGATATGTATCTCTATTTTGTAAGCTGAAACACTCAGACTTTACATGGCCTGTTTTCCCACAGTGGTAACACTCTATGCTTCTGCTATATTTATATCTGTCTGGGTTCCATCTGGTAGGTGCACTATTACTTCTATCTCTATTGTTGTTGACATACCTTCTTTGAACCCTGCCAGAGTCTCTGCTGTGGACTACTGCTGAAATCTCTCCCTGCTCTCTTTTGTCCAAAATGGCCCCTGGATGTGCATCCTTATAAATATTAAGGTGCTCTATTAATTGTTTCTGTGTCCTAACTTTTCTTTCACTCAAAAAAGAGAATAAATTATCTGTTGCATTATTTAAAACATGATCTATCAGGTTAAGTTCAATAATTGCCTCAGGATTCTTTAAATCTATTTCTGCCAATTCTAGCCTTTTATTCATGCATTTGCGAATATCAAAAATGATCTGGTTTATGTCACCAGTGTTGTTAATTCTGGCGTCTCGCATAGTCTTTCTGTAATAGACTTCTGTCTTTCCAAAATGTTTCATCAATCTTTCTTTTACTAGGTCATAGTCTTCTTTTTCAGCCTCAGACATACTTGCTATTATGGCAATAGTCTCTCATGTCAAATTAGTCAATAAAGCCTGTGCCTTCCCAGCAGATGAATAATTAAAACTCTTACATGTTTAATCAAAGAGTATTAAGTAAGTTTCCACACTTTCTTCCTGTGGTTTAAATGCTCTGAATTTAGGCTTCCAATTGTCCGTTTTGTTAACATTGCTGTCTTGAGATTGGTTACTTTTAATTTTGGCTACTTCTAACTCATGTCGCCTCTGTTTTTCTTTGTCTTCGGCCTCTATTTTAGCCTTAGCTAGATCTAGTTCCCTATCAGCCTCCATTTTAACTTTTTCCTTCTCAGCCTCCATTTTAACCTTTTCCTTCTCAGCCTCCATTTTAACATTTTTCCTTCTCAGCCTCTATTTTAGCTAGATCTAGTTCCTTATCAGTCTCTATTTTGGCTTTAGCTAATTCCCTCTCTAAAGCTCTGTCTTCCCTTTCAATTGCATCAGCTATCTTCTTTTCAACCCATTTAGCCTTTTCTGCCCCAGTGTATCCTAACGAATCAGCCAACTCAATGAATTTAGCATAGTCCTCCATCTTACTGGTCCCAGAAAAGTTATTCAGTTACTAAAATGTCAACTCCACTAAATCTAGAAATCTAGATCTAATTCTTTCCTTTACGGTGCGGAGCACCGCTCACTTCTGACACCAAAATGTCACAGGCTTTTCTCCTACCTTTCTATAACACACGCACAAAACCAAAAATCAAGCCTTGTTCCTGCAATTTTCATATTTTATTGGTCCATACAAGCATCGTGTTCACCTCCAGACTTCGCCATGTTTTTTCGCCCCTCTATCTCTCTCTCGCTTCCTTTCCTTTCGCGCATGCGCACACCCACACTATATTCTATATTTTTATCTCGCCTTTTTATGACACACACTCGCAACATACATTCATATACATTTAACTGTTATAGGACTGACCAGTACTTTCACATTGATTGACCAGCACAAAATCTTTCAATTCAACTTAATTTAAATTCCATCCAATCTAAATGCACCAACTCTAGTCCAATCATCCCTGAGATCACCCTCTTGATGCCACCCTAAAGCCTCTTGATACCACCCTTAAGCCTCTTGATACCACCCTAAAGCCTCTTGATACCACCCTTAAGCCTCTTGATACCACCCTAAAGCCTCTTGATACCACCCTAAAGCCTCTTGATACCACCCTAAAGCCACTTGATACCACCCTAAAGCCTCTTGATGCTATTAATAGTACATCCTCCCTCCCCCCCCCCCCCCCCAAAAACAGTAAGCCTACATCTTGACTGACTCTAGTTGGCCTATATTTCAGGGCTATACAGATGAGCCAGTCTCAAAGATCTTATGTAACATTGAAGATGGTCAAGTGGTACAGCTGGACAGGTTGGTTGAAAACTTCATTAGGTGACTTCTTGGGTGACTAATGTCAGTTGTTGGGTGACTAATGTCAGTTGGGTGACTAATGCCAGTTGGGTGACTAATGTCAGTTGTTGGGTGACTAATGCCAGTTGGGTGACTAATGTCAGTTGTTGGGTGACTAATGTCAGTTGTTGGGTGACTAATGTCAGTTGGGTGACTAATGTCAGTTGTTGGGTGACTAATGCCAGTTGGGTGACTAATGCCAGTTGTTGGGTGACTAATGCCAGTTGGGTGACTAATGCCAGTTGGGTGACTAATGTCAGTTGGGTGACTAATGTCAGTTGTTGAGTGACTAATGTCAGTTGGGTGACTAATGTCAGTTGTTGGGTGACTAATGTCAGTTGGGTGACTAATGCCAGTTGGGTGACTAATGCCAGTTGTTGGGTGACTAATGTCAGTTGTTGGGTGACTAATGTCAGTTGGGTGACTAATGCCAGTTGGGTGACTAATGTCAGTTGGGTGACTAATGTCAGTTGTTGGGTGACTAATGTCAGTTGTTGGGTGACTAATGCCAGTTGGGTGACTAATGCCAGTTGGGTGACTAATGTCAGTTGGGTGACTAATGTCAGTTGGGTGACTAATGTCAGTTGGGTGACTAATGTCAGTTGTTGGGTGACTAATGTCAGTTGGGTGACTAATGTCAGTTGTTGAGTGACTAATGTCAGTTGGGTGACTAATGCCAGTTGGGTGACTAATGTCAGTTGGGTGACTAATGTCAGTTGGGTGACTAATGTCAGTTGTTGAGTGACTAATGTCAGTTGGGTGACTAATGCCAGTTGTTGGGTGACTAATGTCAGTTGGGTGACTAATGTCAGTTGTTGAGTGACTAATGTCAGTTGGGTGACTAATGCCAGTTGGGTGACTAATGCCAGTTGGGTGACTAATGCCAGTTGGGTGACTAATGTCAGTTGGGTGACTAATGTCAGTTGTTGGGTGACTAATGCCAGTTGGGTGACTAATGTCAGTTGGGTGACTAATGTCAGTTGTTGGGTGACTAATGCCAGTTGGGTGACTAATGCCAGTTGGGTGACTAATGTCAGTTGGGTGACTAATGTCAGTTGGGTGACTAATGTCAGTTGGGTGACTAATGTCAGTTGGGTGACTAATGCCAGTTGGGTGACTAATGCCAGTTGGGTGACTAATGTCAGTTGGGTGACTAATGCCAGTTGGGTGACTAATGTCAGTTGTTGGGTGACTAATGCCAGTTGTTGGGTGACTAATGTCAGTTGGGTGACTAATGTCAGTTGTTGAGTGACTAATGTCAGTTGGGTGACTAATGCCAGTTGTTGGGTGACTAATGTCAGTTGGGTGACTAATGTCAGTTGTTGAGTGACTAATGTCAGTTGGGTGACTAATGTCAGTTGTTGGGTGACTAATGCCAGTTGTTGGGTGACTAATGTCAGTTGTTGGGTGACTAATGCCAGTTGTTGGGTGACTAATGCCAGTTGGGTGACTAATGCCAGTTGTTGGGTGACTAATGTCAGTTGTTGGGTGACTAATGTCAGTTGGGTGACTAATGCCAGTTGGGTGACTAATGTCAGTTGGGTGACTAATGTCAGTTGTTGGGTGACTAATGTCAGTTGTTGGGTGACTAATGCCAGTTGGGTGACTAATGCCAGTTGGGTGACTAATGTCAGTTGTTGGGTGACTAATGTCAGTTGTTGGGTGACTAATGTCAGTTGTTGGGTGACTAATGTCAGTTGGGTGACTAATGTCAGTTGGGTGACTAATGTCAGTTGGGTGACTAATGTCAGTTGGGTGACTAATGTCAGTTGGGTGACTAATGCCAGTTGTTGGGTGACTAATGCCAGTTGGGTGACTAATGCCAGTTGGGTGACTAATGCCAGTTGGGTGACTAATGTCAGTTGGGTGACTAATGTCAGTTGTTGGGTGACTAATGCCAGTTGTTGGGTGACTAATGCCAGTTGGGTGACTAATGCCAGTTGTTGGGTGACTAATGTCAGTTGGGTGACTAATGCCAGTTGGGTGACTAATGCCAGTTGGGTGACTAATGCCAGTTGGGTGACTAATGTCAGTTGTTGGGTGACTAATGCCAGTTGGGTGACTAATGTCAGTTGGGTGACTAATGCCAGTTGGGTGACTAATGCCAGTTGGGTGACTAATGCCAGTTGGGTGACTAATGTCAGTTGTTGGGTGACTAATGTCAGTTGGGTGACTAATGCCAGTTGTTGGGTGACTAATGTCAGTTGGGTGACTAATGCCAGTTGGGTGACTAATGCCAGTTGGGTGACTAATGTCAGTTGTTGGGTGACTAATGCCAGTTGTTGGGTGACTAATGCCAGTTGGGTGACTAATGCCAGTTGGGTGACTAATGTCAGTTGGGTGACTAATGTCAGTTGTTGGGTGACTAATGCCAGTTGTTGGGTGACTAATGCCAGTTGGGTGACTAATGTCAGTTGGGTGACTAATGCCAGTTGGGTGACTAATGTCAGTTGGGTGACTAATGTCAGTTGTTGGGTGACTAATGCCAGTTGTTGGGTGACTAATGCCAGTTGTTGGGTGACTAATGCCAGTTGTTGGGTGACTAATGCCAGTTGGGTGACTAATGTCAGTTGGGTGACTAATGCCAGTTGGGTGACTAATGCCAGTTGGGTGACTAATGTCAGTTGTTGAGTGACTAATGCCAGTTGTTGAGTGACTAATGTCAGTTGGGTGACTAATGCCAGTTGGGTGACTAATGTCAGTTGGGTGACTAATGTCAGTTGGGTGACTAATGCCAGTTGGGTGACTAATGCCAGTTGGGTGACTAATGTCAGTTGGGTGACTAATGTCAGTTGTTGGGTGACTAATGCCAGTTGTTGGGTGACTAATGCCAGTTGGGTGACTAATGTCAGTTGGGTGACTAATGCCAGTTGGGTGACTAATGCCAGTTGGGTGACTAATGTCAGTTGTTGAGTGACTAATGCCAGTTGTTGAGTGACTAATGTCAGTTGGGTGACTAATGCCAGTTGGGTGACTAATGTCAGTTGGGTGACTAATGTCAGTTGGGTGACTAATGCCAGTTGGGTGACTAATGCCAGTTGGGTGACTAATGTCAGTTGGGTGACTAATGTCAGTTGTTGGGTGACTAATGCCAGTTGTTGGGTGACTAATGCCAGTTGGGTGACTAATGCCAGTTGTTGGGTGACTAATGTCAGTTGGGTGACTAATGCCAGTTGGGTGACTAATGTCAGTTGGGTGACTAATGTCAGTTGTTGAGTGACTAATGCCAGTTGTTGAGTGACTAATGTCAGTTGGGTGACTAATGCCAGTTGGGTGACTAATGTCAGTTGGGTGACTAATGTCAGTTGGGTGACTAATGCCAGTTGGGTGACTAATGCCAGTTGGGTGACTAATGTCAGTTGGGTGACTAATGTCAGTTGTTGGGTGACTAATGCCAGTTGTTGGGTGACTAATGTCAGTTGGGTGACTAATGTCAGTTGTTGAGTGACTAATGTCAGTTGGGTGACTAATGCCAGTTGTTGGGTGACTAATGTCAGTTGGGTGACTAATGTCAGTTGTTGAGTGACTAATGTCAGTTGGGTGACTAATGTCAGTTGTTGGGTGACTAATGCCAGTTGTTGGGTGACTAATGTCAGTTGTTGGGTGACTAATGCCAGTTGTTGGGTGACTAATGCCAGTTGGGTGACTAATGTCAGTTGTTGAGTGACTAATGTCAGTTGGGTGACTAATGTCAGTTGTTGGTTGACTAATGCCAGTTGTTGGGTGACTAATGTCAGTTGTTGGGTGACTAATGCCAGTTGTTGGGTGACTAATGCCAGTTGGGTGACTAATGTCAGTTGGGTGACTAATGTCAGTTGGGTGACTAATGCCAGTTGTTGGGTGACTAATGTCAGTTGTTGGGTGACTAATGTCAGTTGTTGGGTGACTGATGCCAGTTGGGTGACTAATGTCAGTTGGGTGACTAATGTCAGTTGTTGGGTGACTAATGCCAGTTGGGTGACTAATGTCAGTTGTTGGGTGACTAATGTCAGTTGTTGGGTGACTAATGTCAGTTGTTGGGTGACTAATGTCAGTTGGGTGACTAATGTCAGTTGTTGGGTGACTAATGTCAGTTGGGTGACTAATGTCAGTTGTTGGGTGACTAATGTCAGTTGGGTGACTAATGTCAGTTGGGTGACTAATGCCAGTTGTTTGGTGACTAATGTCAGTTGTTGGGTGACTAATGTCAGTTGTTGGGTGACTAATGTCAGTTGGGTGACTAATGCCAGTTGGGTGACTAATGTCAGTTGGGTGACTAATGTCAGTTGGGTGACTAATGTCAGTTGTTGGGTAACTAACGAGCATGACCTCTGCCCTTTTGAGGTGGAGCATAGAGGTGAGCAGCAATGAGAGTACTGAGGGCGAGGTGACAGAAGAGCTGGCCACAGCCACACTGCCACTCCAGGTCTTTAACAACTATTTCAGTCTGGGAGCAGATGCTCATGTGGCTTTAGAGTTTCATGAATCAAGAGGTAACTGGCTCTTACAATCTTACATCTAGCATCAAAATTTCATCTTTACAATCTTACACCTAGCATCCTAATATCATCTTTACAATCTTACATCTAGCATCATAATATCATCTTCACAATCTTACACCTTTATAATAATATCATCTTTACAATCTTACACCTAGCATCCTAATATCATCTTTACAATCTTACACCTTTATAATAATATCATCTTTACATTCTTATACCTGGCATCGTAATATCATCTTTACAATCTTACACTTAGGCCTACATAAGAATCCCATCTTTACAATGAGTCACTATTACACTTTCTTCGCTGATGAATGAACACATTTTTTTTGCTTACAGAAGCCAACCCGGAGAAATTCAACAGCCGCTTCAGAAATAAAATGTTCTACGCTGGGGTGAGTATCTGAGTTCTGTTGCTATGTCTAGTTTCTTGTGTTAAAATGTCTAGTTTCTTGTGTTAAAATGTCTAGTTTGTTGTGTTAAAATGTCTAGTTTGTTGTGTTAAAATGTCTAGTTTGTTGTGTTAAAATGTCTAATTTGTTGTGTTAAAATGTCTAGTTTGTTGTGTTAAAATGTCTAGTTTGTTGTGTTAAAATGTCTAATTTGTTGTGTTAAAATGTCTAATTTGTTGTGTTAAAATGTCTAGTTTGTTGTGTTAAAATGTCTAATTTGTTGTGTTAAAATGTCTAGTTTGTGTTAAAATGTCTAGTTTGTTGTGTTAAAATGTCTAGTTTGTTGTGTTAAAATGTCTAGTTTGTTGTGTTAAAATGTCTAGTTTGTGTTAAAATGTCTAGTTTGTTGTGTTAAAATGTCTAGTTTGTTGTGTTAAAATGTCTAATTTGTTGTGTTAAAATGTCTAATTTGTTGTGTTAAAATGTCTAGTTTGTTGTGTTAAAATGTCTAATTTGTTGTGTTAAAATGTCTAGTTTGTGTTAAAATGTCTAGTTTGTTGTGTTAAAATGTCTAGTTTGTTGTGTTAAAATGTCTAGTTTGTTGTGTTAAAATGTCTAGTTTGTGTTAAAATGTCTAGTTTGTTGTGTTAAAATGTCTAGTTTGTTGTGTTAAAATGTCTAATTTGTTGTGTTAAAATGTCTAATTTGTTGTGTTAAAATGTCTAGTTTGTTGTGTTAAAATGTCTAATTTGTTGTGTTAAAATGTCTAGTTTGTGTTAAAATGTCTAGTTTGTTGTGTTAAAATGTCTAGTTTGTTGTGTTAAAATGTCTAGTTTGTTGTGTTAAAATGTCTAGTTTGTGTTAAAATGTCTAGTTTGTTGTGTTAAAATGTCTAGTTTGTTGTGTTAAAATGTCTAGTTTGTTGTGTTAAAATGTCTAATTTGTTGTGTTAAAATGTCTAATTTGTTGTGTTAAAATGTCTAGTTTGTGTTAAAATGTCTAGTTTGTTGTGTTAAAATGTCTAGTTTGTTGTGTTAAAATGTCTAGTTTCTTGTGTTAAAATGTCTAGTTTGTGTTAAAATGTCTAGTTTGTTGTGTTAAAATGTCTAGTTTGTTGTGTTAAAATGTCTAGTTTGTTGTGTTAAAATGTCTAATTTGTTGTGTTAAAATGTCTAATTTGTTGTGTTAAAATGTCTAGTTTGTGTTAAAATGTCTAGTTTGTTGTGTTAAATGTCTAGTTTGTTGTGTTAAAATGTCTAATTTGTTGTGTTAAAATGTCTAGTTTGTTGTGTTAAAATGTCTAATTTGTTGTGTTAAAATGTCTAGTTTCTTGTGTTAAAATGTCTAGTTTGTTGTGTTAAAATGTCTAGTTTGTTGTGTTAAAATGTCTAGTTTGTTGTGTTAAAATGTCTAGTTTGTGTTAAAATGTCTAGTTTGTTGTGTTAAAATGTCTGGTTTGTTGTGTTAAAATGTCTAGTTTGTTGTGTTAAAATGTCTAGTTTGTGTTAAAATGTCTAGTTTGTTGTGTTAAATGTCTAGTTTGTTCTGTTAAAATGTCTAATTTGTTGTGTTAAAATGTCTAGTTTGTTGTGTTAAATGTCTAGTTTGTTGTGTTAAAATGTCTAATTTGTTGTGTTAAAATGTCTAGTTTGTTGTGTTAAAATGTCTAGTTTGTGTTAAAATGTCTAGTTTGTTGTGTTAAATGTCTAGTTTGTTGTGTTAAAATGTCTAATTTGTTGTGTTAAAATGTCTAGTTTGTTGTGTTAAAATGTCTAGTTTGTGTTAAAATGTCTAGTTTGTTGTGTTAAATGTCTAGTTTGTTGTGTTAAAATGTCTAATTTGTTGTGTTAAAATGTCTAGTTTGTTGTGTTAAATGTCTAGTTTGTTGTGTTAAAATGTCTAGTTTGTTGTGTTAAAATGTCTAGTTTGTTGTGTTAAATGTCTAGTTTGTGTTAAAATGTCTAGTTTGTTGTGTTAAAATGTCTAGTTTGTTGTGTTAAATGTCTAGTTTGTGTTAAAATGTCTAGTTTGTTGTGTTAAAATGTCTAGTTTGTTGTGTTAAATGTCTAGTTTGTGTTAAAATGTCTAGTTTGTTGTGTTAAAATGTCTAATTTGTTGTGTTAAAATGTCTAGTTTGTTGTGTTAAAATGTCTAGTTTGTTGTGTTAAAATGTCTAGTTTGTTGTGTTAAAATGTCTAGTTTGTTGTGTTAAAATGTCTAGTTTGTTGTGTTAAAATGTCTAATTTGTTGTGTTAAAATGTCTAGTTTGTTGTGTTAAAATGTCTAGTTTGTTGTGTTAAAATTTCTGGTTTGTTGTGTGGGATGACTGACCTAGTTGTGTGGGATGACTGACCTAGTTGTGTGGGATGACTGACCTAGTTGTGTGGGATGACTGACCTAGTTGTGTGGGATGACTGACCTAGTTGTGTGGGATGACTGACTTAGTTGTGTGGGATGACTGACCTAGTTGTGTGGGATGACTGACCTAGTTGTGTGGGATGACTGACCTAGTTGTGTGGGATGACTGACCTAGTTGTTTGATATTCTTTTTACTTTTAGGCAGGTGGAAGAGATTTGCTCAAGAGAAGTTGGAAAGGGTTTGCTGAACATATCAAACTAGAGGTCAGTTAGTAGGAACTAACTTTATAGCTAAGACTAACTTTATAGCTGACACTAACTTTTAGCTAAGACTAACTTTATAGCTGCGACTAACTTTATAGCTGAGATTAACTTTATAGCTGTGACTAACTTTATAGCTGACACTAACTTTTAGCTAAGACTAACTTTATAGCTGACACTAACTTTTAGCTAAGACTAACTTTATAGCTGAGACTAACTTTATAGCTGAGACTAACTTTATAGCTGAGACTAACTTTATAGCTGAGGCTAACTTTATAGCTGAGACTAACTTTATAGCTGCGACTAACTTTATAGCTGAGATTAACTTTATAGCTGAGACTAATTTTTAGCTGAGACTAACTTTATAGCTGAGACTAACTTTATAGCTGAGACTAACTTTATAGCTGAGGCTAACTTTATAGCTGAGACTAACTTTATAGCTGAGACTAACTTTATAGCTGAGACTAACTTTATAGCTGAGACTAATTTTTAGCTGAGATTAACTTTATAGCTGAGACTAACTTTATAGCTGACACTAACTTTTAGCTAAGACTAACTTTATAGCTGAGACTAACTTTATAGCTGAGATTAACTTTATAGCTGAGACTAACTTAATAGCTGAGGCTAACTTTATAGCTGAGACTAACTTTATAGCTGCGACTAACTTTATAGCTGAGATTAACTTTATAGCTGAGACTAATTTTTAGCTGAGACTAACTTTATAGCTGAGACTAACTTTATAGCTGAGACTAACTTTATAGCTGAAGCTAACTTTATAGCTGAGACTAACTTTATAGCTGAGACTAACTTTATAGCTGAGACTAATTTTTAGCTGAGACTAACTTTATAGCTGACACTAACATTAGAGCTGCCACAAACTTTATAGCTGAGACTAACTTTATAGCTGAGACTAACTTTATAGCTGAGGCTAACTTTATAGCTGAGACTAACTTTATAGCTGAGGCTAACTTTAGAGCTGAGACTAACTTTATAGCTGAGACTAACTCTATATCGGAGACTAACTTAGTAGCTGAGACTAACTTTATAGCTAAGACTAACTTTATAGCTGAAGCTAACTTTATAGCTGAGACTAACTTTATAGCTGAGACTAACTTTATAGCTGAGACTAATTTTTAGCTGAGACTAACTTTATAGCTGACACTAACATTAGAGCTGCCACAAACTTTATAGCTGAGACTAACTTTATAGCTGAGACTAACTTTATAGCTGAGGCTAACTTTATAGCTGAGACTAACTTTATAGCTGAGGCTAACTTTATAGCTGAGACTAACTTTATAGCTGAGACTAACTTTATAGCTGAGACTAACTTTATAGCTGAGACTAACTTTATAGCTAAGACTAACTTTATAGCTGACACTAACTTTTAGCTAAGACTAACTTTATAGCTGAGACTAACTTTATAGCTGAGACTAACTTTATAGCTGAGACTAACTTTATAGCTGAGGCTAACTTTATAGCTGAGACTAACTTTATAGCTGCGACTAACTTTATAGCTGAGATTAACTTTATAGCTGAGACTAATTTTTAGCTGAGACTAACTTTATAGCTGAGACTAACTTTATAGCTGAGACTAACTTTATAGCTGAGGCTAACTTTATAGCTGAGACTAACTTTATAGCTGAGACTAACTTTATAGCTGAGACTAACTTTATAGCTGAGACTAATTTTTAGCTGAGATTAACTTTATAGCTGAGACTAACTTTATAGCTGACACTAACTTTTAGCTAAGACTAACTTTATAGCTGAGACTAACTTTATAGCTGCGACTAACTTTATAGCTGAGACTAACTTTATAGCTGAGACTAACTTTATAGCTGAGACTAACTTTATAGCTAAGACTAACTTTATAGCTGACACTAACTTTTAGCTAAGACTAACTTTATAGCTGAGACTAACTTTATAGCTGAGACTAACTTTATAGCTGAGACTAACTTTATAGCTGAGGCTAACTTTATAGCTGAGACTAACTTTATAGCTGCGACTAACTTTATAGCTGAGATTAACTTTATAGCTGAGACTAATTTTTAGCTGAGACTAACTTTATAGCTGAGACTAACTTTATAGCTGAGACTAACTTTATAGCTGAGGCTAACTTTATAGCTGAGACTAACTTTATAGCTGAGACTAACTTTATAGCTGAGACTAACTTTATAGCTGAGACTAATTTTTAGCTGAGATTAACTTTATAGCTGAGACTAACTTTATAGCTGACACTAACTTTTAGCTAAGACTAACTTTATAGCTGAGACTAACTTTATAGCTGCGACTAACTTTATAGCTGAGATTAACTTTATAGCTGAGACTAATTTTTAGCTGAGACTAACTTTATAGCTGAGACTAACTTTATAGCTGAGACTAACTTTATAGCTAAGACTAACTTTATAGCTGACACTAACTTTTAGCTAAGACTAACTTTATAGCTGAGACTAACTTTATAGCTGAGACTAACTTTATAGCTGAGACTAACTTTATAGCTGAGGCTAACTTTATAGCTGAGACTAACTTTATAGCTGCGACTAACTTTATAGCTGAGATTAACTTTATAGCTGAGACTAATTTTTAGCTGAGACTAACTTTATAGCTGAGACTAACTTTATAGCTGAGACTAACTTTATAGCTGAGGCTAACTTTATAGCTGAGACTAACTTTATAGCTGAGACTAACTTTATAGCTGAGACTAACTTTATAGCTGAGACTAATTTTTAGCTGAGATTAACTTTATAGCTGAGACTAACTTTATAGCTGACACTAACTTTTAGCTAAGACTAACTTTATAGCTGAGACTAACTTTATAGCTGCGACTAACTTTATAGCTGAGATTAACTTTATAGCTGAGACTAATTTTTAGCTGAGACTAACTTTATAGCTGAGACTAACTTTATAGCTGAGACTAACTTTATAGCTGAGGCTAACTTTATAGCTGAGACTAACTTTATAGCTGAGACTAACTTTATAGCTGAGACTAACTTTATAGCTGAGACTAATTTTTAGCTGAGATTAACTTTATAGCTGAGACTAACTTTATAGCTGACACTAACTTTTAGCTAAGACTAACTTTATAGCTGAGACTAACTTAATAGCTGAGGCTAACTTTATAGCTGAGACTAACTTTATAGCTGCGACTAACTTTATAGCTGAGATTAACTTTATAGCTGAGACTAATTTTTAGCTGAGACTAACTTTATAGCTGAGACTAACTTTATAGCTGCGACTAACTTTATAGCTGAGATTAACTTTATAGCTGAGACTAATTTTTAGCTGAGACTAACTTTATAGCTGAGACTAACTTTATAGCTGAGACTAACTTTATAGCTGAGGCTAACTTTATAGCTGAGACTAACTTTATAGCTGAGACTAACTTTATAGCTGAGACTAACTTTATAGCTGAGACTAATTTTTAGCTGAGATTAACTTTATAGCTGAGACTAACTTTATAGCTGACACTAACTTTTAGCTAAGACTAACTTTATAGCTGAGACTAACTTTATAGCTGAGATTAACTTTATAGCTGAGACTAACTTAATAGCTGAGGCTAACTTTATAGCTGAGACTAACTTTATAGCTGCGACTAACTTTATAGCTGAGATTAACTTTATAGCTGAGACTAATTTTTAGCTGAGACTAACTTTATAGCTGAGACTAACTTTATAGCTGAGACTAACTTTATAGCTGAAGCTAACTTTATAGCTGAGACTAACTTTATAGCTGAGACTAACTTTATAGCTGAGACTAATTTTTAGCTGAGACTAACTTTATAGCTGACACTAACATTAGAGCTGCCACAAACTTTATAGCTGAGACTAACTTTATAGCTGAGACTAACTTTATAGCTGAGACTAACTTTATAGCTGAGGCTAACTTTATAGCTGAGACTAACTTTATAGCTGAGGCTAACTTTATAGCTGAGACTAACTTTATAGCTGAGACTAACTTTATAGCTGAGACTAACTTTATAGCTGAGACTAACTTTATAGCTGAGACTAATTTTTAGCTGAGACTAACTTTATAGCTTTGACTAACTTTATAGCTGAGACTAACTTTATAGCTGAGACTAACTTTATAGCTGAGACTAACTTTATAGCTGACACTAACTTTATAGCTGACACTAACTTTATAGCTGCCACAAATTTTATAGCTGAGACTAACTTTATAGCTGCCACAAACTTTATAGCTGAGACTAGCTTTATAGCTGCCACACAACAGTTGTGTTATTTTCTTCTCTCCTAGTGTGATGGGGTAGATCTGACCCAAAAAATACAGGATATGAAACTCCATTGTCTTCTCATTCTAAACATTCCCAGGTAGGTTCCACGCACCATTCTTTCAAAAATAATTGCTAGCTGGCTTGCTAGGTAGCTGGCTGGTTAATGGCTGGCTGGTTAATGGCTTGTTAATGGCTGGCTGGTTAATGGCTTGTTAATGGCTGGCTGGTTAATGGCTGGCTGGTTAATGGCTGGCTGGTTAATGGCTTGTTAATGGCTGGCTTGTTAATGGCTGGCTGGTTAATGGCTGGCTGGTTAATGGCTTGTTAATGGCTGGCTGGTTAATGGCTTGTTAATGGCTGGCTGGTTAATGGCTTTTTAATGGCTGGCTGGTTAATGGCTTGTTAATGGCTGGCTGGTTAATGGCTGGCTGGTTATTGGCTGGCTGGTTAATGGCTGGCTGGTTAATGGCTTGTTAATGGCTGGCTAGCTAGTTAATGGCTTGTTAATGGCTGGCTGGTTAATGGCTTGTTAATGGCTGGCTGGTTAATTGCTGGCTGGTTAATGGCTTGTTAATGACTGGCTGGTTAATGGCTTGTTAATGGCTGGCTGGTTAATGGCTTGTTAATGGCTGGCTGGTTAATGGCTGGCTGGTTAATGGCTTGTTAATGGCTGGCTGGTTAATGGCTTGTTAATGGCTGGCTGGTTAATGGCTTGTTAATGGCTGGCTGGTTAATGGCTTGTTAATGGCTGGCTGGTTATTGGCTGGCTGGTTAATGGCTGGCTAGCTGGTTAATGGCTGGCTGGTTAATGGCTGGCTGGTTAATGGCTGGCTGGTTAATGGCTGGCTGGTTAATTGCTGGCTGGTTAATGGCTTGTTAATGGCTGGCTGATTAATGGCTTGTTAATGGCTGGCGGGTTAATGGCTGGCTGGTTAATGGCTTGTTAATGGCTGGCTGGTTAATGGCTAGCTGGCTAGATGGTTGTGTAGCTAGAAGGTTGGATTAGGAGCTGACTTTTGAACTGTTTTCACCCTATTTGAATGTACACTTGATTTAAACCTTCAAAATAACAAATGCCGATACAAGGATTCAATCTAATGACAATCACCAGGGAGTTTTCTATGAGACAGGTGAACACAGGAGACAATTGTAGTCATGTTGGGTGTTGAACTAAGGGGAGAGAAAGAATGGCACAGTCAGCACATTGAAGGCCACACTCTACACAAGCCAGTCAGCACATTGAAGGCCACATTGCCCTCTAAACTTGACATTCAGGAACGTAAGCTGGAGAAGATTGGGTTAGAATTGGCCTACAAAGCTCTGCTTGCCTATGCACCTAACTGTGTATTTCAGATATGCAAGTGGTACGCTGCCCTGGGGCAACCCTAACGCTGTGGGCTTTGAGCCACAGACCCACGATGACGGATTTCTGGAGGTCATTGGCTTCACCTATTCCTCACTGGTAGGTCACACCCCTAGAGGAACCTTGTCTCGTTACCATGGTAACAATGTCTGTCCACAGCTTGATTCTTTGATTCTCTGCTCATCTCAACAATAAATACACGAAGATGTGGATAGTTAGTTTACCTGTGATGTATGCTCTCAACAATAAATACACGAAGATGTGGATAGTTAGTTTACCTGTGATGTATGCTCTCAACAATAAATACACGAAGATGTGGATAGTTAGTTTACCTGCTCATCTCAACAATAAATACACGAAGATGTGGATAGTTAGTTTACCTGTGATGTATGCTCTCAACAATAAATACACGAAGATGTGGATAGTTAGTTTACCTGTGATGTATGCTCTCAACAATAAATACACGAAGATGTGGATAGTTAGTTTACCTGTGATGTATGCTCTCAACAATAAATACACGAAGATGTGGATAGTTAGTTTACCTGTGATGTATGCTCTCAACAATAAATACACGAAGATGTGGATAGTTAGTTTACCTGTGATGTATGCTCTCAACAATAAATACACGAAGATGTGGATAGTTAGTTTACCTGTGATGTATGCTCTCAACAATAAATACACGAAGATGTGGATAGTTAGTTTACCTGTGATGTATGCTCTCAACAATAAATACACGAAGATGTGGATAGTTAGTTTACCTGTGATGTATGCTCTCAACAATAAATACACGAAGATGTGGATAGTTAGTTTACCTGTGATGTATGCTCTCAACAATAAATACACGAAGATGTGGATAGTTAGTTTACCTGTGATGTATGCTCTCAACAATAAATACACGAAGATGTGGATAGTTAGTTTACCTGTGATGTATGCTCTCAACAATAAATACACGAAGATGTGGATAGTTAGTTTACCTGTGATGTATGCTCTCAACAATAAATACACGAAGATGTGGATAGTTAGTTTACCTGTGATGTATGCTCTCAACAATAAATACACGAAGATGTGGATAGTTAGTTTACCTGTGATGTATGCTCTCAACAATAAATACACGAAGATGTGGATAGTTAGTTTACCTGTGATGTATGCTCTCAACAATAAATACACGAAGATGTGGATAGTTAGTTTACCTGTGATGTATGCTCTCAACAATAAATACACGAAGATGTGGATAGTTAGTTTACCTGTGATGTATGCTCTCAACAATAAATACACGAAGATGTGGATAGTTAGTTTACCTGTGATGTATGCTCTCAACAATAAATACACGAAGATGTGGATAGTTAGTTTACCTGTGATGTATGCTCTCAACAATAAATACACGAAGATGTGGATAGTTAGTTTACCTGTGATGTATGCTCTCAACAATAAATACACGAAGATGTGGATAGTTAGTTTACCTGCTCATCTCAACAATAAATACACGAAGATGTGGATAGTTAGTTTACCTGTGATGTATGCTCTCAACAATAAATACACGAAGATGTGGATAGTTAGTTTACCTGTGATGTATGCTCTCAACAATAAATACACGAAGATGTGGATAGTTAGTTTACCTGTGATGTATGCTCTCAACAATAAATACACGAAGATGTGGATAGTTAGTTTACCTGTGATGTATGCTCTCAACAATAAATACACGAAGATGTGGATAGTTAGTTTACCTGTGATGTATGCTCTCAACAATAAATACACGAAGATGTGGATAGTTAGTTTACCTGTGATGTATGCTCTCAACAATAAATACACGAAGATGTGGATAGTTAGTTTACCTGTGATGTATGCTCTCAACAATAAATACACGAAGATGTGGATAGTTAGTTTACCTGTGATGTATGCTCTCAACAATAAATACACGAAGATGTGGATAGTTAGTTTACCTGTGATGTATGCTCTCAACAATAAATACACGAAGATGTGGATAGTTAGTTTACCTGTGATGTATGCTCTCAACAATAAATACACGAAGATGTGGATAGTTAGTTTACCTGTGATGTATGCTCTCAACAATAAATACACGAAGATGTGGATAGTTAGTTTACCTGTGATGTATGCTCTCAACAATAAATACACGAAGATGTGGATAGTTAGTTTACCTGTGATGTATGCTCTCAACAATAAATACACGAAGATGTGGATAGTTAGTTTACCTGTGATGTATGCTCTCAACAATAAATACACGAAGATGTGGATAGTTAGTTTACCTGTGATGTATGCTCTCAACAATAAATACACGAAGATGTGGATAGTTAGTTTACCTGTGATGTATGCTCTCAACAATAAATACACGAAGATGTGGATAGTTAGTTTACCTGTGATGTATGCTCTCAACAATAAATACACGAAGATGTGGATAGTTAGTTTACCTGTGATGTATGCTCTCAACAATAAATACACGAAGATGTGGATAGTTAGTTTACCTGTGATGTATGCTCTCAACAATAAATACACGAAGATGTGGATAGTTAGTTTACCTGTGATGTATGCTCTCAACAATAAATACACGAAGATGTGGATAGTTAGTTTACCTGCTCATCTCAACAATAAATACACGAAGATGTGGATAGTTAGTTTACCTGTGATGTATGCTCTCAACAATAAATACACGAAGATGTGGATAGTTAGTTTACCTGTGATGTATGCTCTCAACAATAAATACACGAAGATGTGGATAGTTAGTTTACCTGTGATGTATGCTCTCAACAATAAATACACGAAGATGTGGATAGTTAGTTTACCTGTGATGTATGCTCTCAACAATAAATACACGAAGATGTGGATAGTTAGTTTACCTGTGATGTATGCTCTCAACAATAAATACACGAAGATGTGGATAGTTAGTTTACCTGTGATGTATGCTCTCAACAATAAATACACGAAGATGTGGATAGTTAGTTTACCTGTGATGTATGCTCTCAACAATAAATACACGAAGATGTGGATAGTTAGTTTACCTGTGATGTATGCTCTCAACAATAAATACACGAAGATGTGGATAGTTAGTTTACCTGTGATGTATGCTCTCAACAATAAATACACGAAGATGTGGATAGTTAGTTTACCTGTGATGTATGCTCTCAACAATAAATACACGAAGATGTGGATAGTTAGTTTACCTGTGATGTATGCTCTCAACAATAAATACACGAAGATGTGGATAGTTAGTTTACCTGTGATGTATGCTCTCAACAATAAATACACGAAGATGTGGATAGTTAGTTTACCTGTGATGTATGCTCTCAACAATAAATACACGAAGATGTGGATAGTTAGTTTACCTGTGATGTATGCTCTATGGGAGCCGGACACTTGCCCGAATGCGACAAATGCCCAAATGGATACTTGCCCGAATGCGACAAATGCCCAAATGGATACTTGCCCGAATGCGACAAATGCCCAAATGGATACTTGCCCGAATGCGACAAATGCCCAAATGGATACTTGCCCGAATGCGACAAATGCCCAAATGGATACTTGCCCGAATGCGACAAATGCCCAAATGGATACTTGCCCGAATGCGACAAATGCCCAAATGGATACTTGCCCGAATGCGACAAATGCCCAAATGGATACTTGCCCGAATGCGACAAATGCCCAAATGGATACTTGCCCGAATGCGACAAATGCCCAAATGGATACTTGCCCGAATGCGACAAATGCCCAAATGGACACTTGCCCGAATGCGACAAATGCCCGAATTGACACTTGCCAGAATGCGACAAATGCCCAAATGGACACTTGCCCGAATGCGACAAATGCCCAAATTGACACTTGCCCGAATGCGACAAATGCCCAAATGGACACTTGCCAGAATGCGACAAATGCCCAAATTGACACTTGCCAGAATGCGACAAATGCCCGAATTGACACTTGCCAGAATGCGACAAATGCCCGAATTGACACTTGCCAGAATGCGACAAATGCCCAAATGGACACTTGCCCGAATGCGACAAATGCCCGAATTGACACTTGCCCGAATGCGACAAATGCCCAAATGGACACTTGCCAGAATGCGACAAATGCCCAAATGGACACTTGCCCGAATGCGACAAATGCCCGAATTGACACTTGCCCGAATGCGACAAATGCCCGAATTGACACTTGCCCGAATGCGACAAATGCCCAAATGGACACTTGCCCGAATGCGACAAATGCCCAAATGGACACTTGCCCGAATGCGACAAATGCCCGAATGGACACTTGCCCGAATGCGACAAATGCCCAAATGGACACTTGCCCGAATGCGACAAATGCCCGAATTGACACTTGCCCGAATGCGACAAATGCCCAAATGGACACTTGCCCGAATGCGACAAATGCCCGAATTGACACTTGCCAGAATGCGACAAATGCCCAAATTGACACTTGCCCGAATGCGACAAATGCCCGAATGCGACAAATGCCAGAATGCGACAAATGCCCGAATAGACACTTGCCCGAAGGCCGTTTGCCCGAAAAATGTTAATATTAGAAAATAAATAATATCACCAAATAGACATTCTTTAATCAATTTAAGTTTGAAATATTGATAATAAACACAATTCTAAGCATAAAATCAAAGTTGTTTATAATTTTAAAATTTTGCTTTTATTTATTTTTTAAACTGAGAAAATGCTGTAAAAATCGTTGCTCTTTATTAAATGTAAGGTGATGTTGGCGGCGGTATCTTTACATTCTTTTGATGTATGTTTTGAACACCTTGTTTAGCCGACGTGTTGCGGTGGTTATACAGCGTTTATGACACTGTAGGCGGCGCGGCGCAACATTAAACAGAGGCGCGTTTGTTTTATTTTTTTTTTGTTTTTTTTAACATGTGTGGTGATCATTTCACAAGAACGAGGCTCGGTCTAGGCGGCGAATTTACAAACTAAAGATAGTCAATTATGTTTTATCTCCATTTGTTGAAGTGATTACTTAATAAATAAAGCAATATTCATTATAAAATCCTGATATAAACGAAAATGGTATTTTTTTGTGTTGTTTCAGAGATAGGAATGAAAATATGTTTGTACACTTTTTATATAGCAAGTACTAATTAATTTAGAATGTCTGCGTGGTAAAATATAATATTATTTTATTCTTTTCTTTTTGCTTAGATAATCATATATTGTTTCTAAAAAATTCAAATTTAAATTGAATACGAATGATTATTAGTAATATATAATATAAACATTTTTCGGGCAAACAGCCTTCGGGCAAGTGGCATTTGTTGCATTCGGGCAAGTGTCCATTCGGGCATTTGTCGCATTTGGGGCAAGTGTCCATTCGGGCATTTGTCGCATTCGGGCAAGTGTCCATTCGGGCAATCGGCCTTCGCGCAAACGGCATTCGGGCAAGTGTTTTTCAGGAATTTGTCGTAGAACCATGCTCTATGTGTAAGAATGTGGGTACCAAGTTTACCCGTGATGTATCCTCTATGTGTAAGAATGTGGGTACCAAGTTTACCTGTGATGTATCCTCTATGTGTAAGAATGTGGGTACCAAGTTTACCCGTGATGTATCCTCTGTGTGTAAGAATGTGGGTACCAAGTTTACCTGTGATGTATCCTCTATGTGTAAGAATGTGGGTACCAAGTTTACCTGTGATGTATCCTCTATGTGTAAGAATGTGGGTACCAAGTTTACCTTTGATGTATCCTCTATGTGTAAGAATATGGGTAACAAGTTTACCTGTGATGTTTGCTCAGGAACTAAGACACTATCATTGCACAGATTAAGACACTATGCTGTTTTGTATGTTGTAGGCAACTTTATATGTTGGAGGCCATGGTGAGCGCTTGATGCAGTGTCGAGAAGTGCGCCTGACCACATACAAGTCCATGCCTATGCAAGTGGATGGTGAGCCGTGTCGACTCCGCCCCTCTCACGTCAACATTACATTCCGCAACCAAGCCAACATGCTCATTAAACCAAAGAGAAGAGGATCTATGCCTATTGCCAATGAGTTAGTCTGATCAATTTACTAGCAGTTCAATTTTTACAGTAATGCTCTCATAAATTGACTAGACAGATGATGTTGTCATAAATTGACTAGACAGATGATGTTCTATCATAAATTGACTAGACAGATGATGTTCTCATAAATTGACTAGACAGATGATGTTCTATCATAAATGACTAGACATGATGTTCTCATCAATTGACAAGACAGATGATGTTCTCATAAATTGACTAGACAGATGATGTTCTCATAAATTGACTAGACAGATGATGTTCTATCATAAATTGACTAGACCGATTAAGCTCTGTCATAAATTTACTAGACAGATGATGTTCTCATAAATTGACTAGACAGATGATGTTCTCATAAATTGACTAGACGGATGATGTTCTATCATAAATTGACTAGACAGATGATGTTCTATCATAAATTGACTAGACAGATGATGTTCTTATCAATTGACTAGACAGATGATGTTCTATCATAAATTGACTAGACAGATGATGTTCTATCATAAATTGACTAGACAGATTATGCTCTGTCATAAATTGACTAGACAGATGATGTTCTATCATAAATTGACTAGACAGATGATGTTCTATCATAAATTGACTAGACAGATGATGTTCTATCATAAATTGACTAGACAGATGATGTTCTATCATAAATTGGCTAGACAGATAATGTTCTCATAAATTGACTAGACAGATGATGTTCTATCATAAATTGACTAGACAGATGATGTTCTATCATAAATTGACTAAACAGATGATGTTCTATCATAAATTGACTAGACAGATGATGTTCTATCATAAATTGACTTGACAGATGATGTTCTATCGTAAATTGACTAGACAGATGATGTTCTATCATAAATTGACTAGACAGATGATGTTCTATCACAAATTGACTAGACAGATGATGTTCTATCATAAATTGACTAGACAGATGATGTTCTATCATAAATTGACTAGACAGATGATGTTCTATCATAAATTGACTAGACAGATGATGTTCTATCATAAATTGACTAGACAGATGATGTTCTATCGTAAATTGACTAGACAGATGATGTTCTATCATAAATTGACTAGACAGATGATGTTCTATCATAAATTGACTAGACAGATGATGTTCTATCATAAATTGACTAGACAGATGATGTTCTATCGTAAATTGACTAGACAGATGATGTTCTATCATAAATTGACTAGACAGATGATGTTCTATCATAAATTGACTAGACAGATGATGTTCTATCAGAAATTGACTAGACAGATGATGTTCTATCATAAATTGACTAGACAGATGATGTTCTATCGTAAATTGACTAGACAGATGATGTTCTATCATAAATTGACTAGACAGATGATGTTCTATCATAAATTGACTAGACAGATGATGTTCTATCATAAATTGACTAGACAGATGATGTTCCATCATAAATTGACTAGACAGATGATGTTCTATCATAAATTGACTAGACAGATGATGTTCTATCATAAATTGACTAGACAGATGATGTTCTATCGTAAATTGACTAGACAGATGATGTTCTATCATAAATTGACTAGACAGATGATGTTCTATCGTAAATTGACTAGACAGATGATGTTCTATCGTAAATTGACTAGACAGATGATGTTCTATCATAAATTGACTAGACAGATGATGTTCTATCATAAATTGACTAGACAGATGATGTTCTATCATAAATTGACTAGACAGATGATGTTCTATCATAAATTGACTAGACAGATGATGTTCTATCATAAATTGACTAGACAGATGATGTTCTATCATAAATTGACTAGACAGATTATGTTCTATCATAAATTGACTAGACAGATGATGTTCTCATAAATTGACTAGACAGATGATGTTCTATCGTAAATTGACAAGACAGATGATGTTCTATCGTAAATTGACTAGACAGATGATGTTCTATCATAAATTGACTAGACAGATGATGTTCTATCATAAATTGACTAGACAGATAATGTTCTCATAAATTGACTAGACAGATGATGTTCTATCGTAAATTGACTAGACAGATGATGTTCTATCATAAATTGACTAGACAGATGATGTTCTATCATAAATTGACTAGACAGATGATGTTCTATCATAAATTGACTAGACAGATAATGTTCTCATAAATTGACTAGACAGATGATGTTCTATCGTAAATTGACTAGACAGATGATGTTCTATCATAAATTGACTAGACAGATGATGTTCTATCATAAATTGACTAGACAGATGATGTTCTATTGTAAATTGACTAGACAGATGATGTTCTATCGTAAATTGACTAGACAGATGATGCTCTTGCCCTCTGAGGCTGGCCAAGGATGGTGTGAATAACTCCAGTTGTAGTCCTGACTTTGCCTTTTTCAGTCCTCCCTCTTCTGTGCCTGAACGTCTGAGGCTTCAGGTCAGTCGCGTCAGTTTGGCAGACTATGAGCTGCTGCACTTTGATAAGGACAACTTACGTCAAGCATGTAAGTCAGCCACAAGTCACAACATACAGCCCTCATACACAACATACAGCCCTCATACACAACATACAGCCCTCATACACAACATACAGCCCTCATACACAACATACAGCCCTGATACACAACATACAGCCCTGATACACAACATACAGCCCTGATACACAACATATAGCCCTGATACACAACATTGTAACGTTAACCTATCTATCAGCCAAATAGAAGGAGAACGTCCCCGGATTCTTTTTTCGGGGTCATATGCAAATGCCTTACGGCCTAAGTGGATGAACACTTAACACAACGACCACTAGGGCTCGAATTTAATGTCTAGGGAAGCTAGTGATACTATTGTAATTAACACTCATCCAATCTACATACGACCTTTTAATCAGCGAACTCAGTTGTGGCAGAACACAAAGATGAACTAGATAAAATATTTAATGTATAAAATATCAAAAACCCAACTTACACAATGTAGGAAAAAACACTATCACAGATTTCTACACTGTCTAAAGAACAGCTACAGGCCACACAACACTGCTGTAGCTTCAAGACTTACTTAGCGACAAGTAATATTAAACTAGAAGACTAAATCAACTGAAGAAAGCAAGGCACACACAGGTCTTAAGTACTCTCACGTTCAAATGGTCAGAGTCTATAGCCGGACAATATGGACGGCTGTCTGATCAAGGTAAAACTGCCTCGTAGACTGCCAGGTCAAGATAAACTGCCTCGTGTTGCGAGTGTGCAGAGCAATTAAAGACTTCTGTGACAGGGGAGGTTATCCTCAACTCATGTCGCCATTGGTTGGGATAATCATCTGATCAGAATCATGCAATCAGATTTTAATGGAAAATTTCTATGTCTCAAACACCTTAATAAGTCAGTGGAAAAACCCCAGGTGTTACACCATCATTCCATATAAGGAATTATACAATGTCAAAATAAAAATGACTCGACCTAAGTAGGTCACATCCCCTCCCTTTTTGGAAGTGACAGATAGGTTCCACAAAAAACATACATAAGGAACCAATCTGGCAATGAAATAACAAAAATGTTTTACAATTGTAGGCAATCAAAATCATAACACCAGATGAAAATATCCCTGAACATAAAAGGGAAGTAACTCCAACTTTTACAATTGGTGAAAGGGGAGTAACCCTTCAAAAAGTAATTATACATCAAAATCCCTCAAAAAAGGGTATTACAATATTTCCATGAGGATATTAAAAGTGGTAAACCCGCCAGGGTAAGACCTTTATTTCAATGACTAGCTACAATATCAATTGAGTCATATGAGACATTTTATTATAAAAGATTACATATAATCAAAAACCACCTTTAATTAAGGTACACCTGAAAATAAACAAAATATTCAACAGGATTGGAATTTTGAAAAAAATTCAAAACTCACACCACTCATTTTCATATGAGTGACACTCAAACAAAAACCTGTTTATGGTCCTAATGAACCACAAAGCATGTCACATGATCAATGTGTACAACAAGATTTTACATCCTTGACAAACAATCAGCCACAACATTATCACTACCCTTAATGTGTGAAATTTCCAGATTAAAATTTTGGAAATATAAGCACCATCTCAATATTCTTTGATTTGTCTGTCCTAACTTAGAGGTAAATTTCAGGGGATCATGGTCAGAAAACACTCTGACTGGATTGGTTGAAGAAGAGACATAGACTTCAAAATGTTGTAATGATAAAACCAAAGCTAAAGCTTCTTTTTCAATAGTAGAATAATTCTTTTGGTTCTCATTTAACTTCCTGGAAAAAAAAGCAATGGGATGGTCAATTCCCATGTTGTCTTCTTGAAATAGGACTGAGCCAATGGCTAAGTTGCTAGCATCAATGGCAAGTTTAAAGGGCTTGCTAAAATTTGGTGCAGCCATAACAGGAGCATTTGATAAAAATGACTTAATGGTTAAAAAAGCTTCTTGACATTTATTGGACCATTCAAACTCAACACCCTTTTTCAATAATGCAGTAAGAGGTTCAGCAATAGCTGAAAAGTTTTGACAGAACCGCCTATAGTAACCAGCCATCCCAAGGAACTTTTTGATCTCTTTACAATTTTTGGGAGGTGGCAACTTTACAATAGCATCTACTTTAGCTTCAATGGGCCGAACTTGGTTCGTTCCCACTTGATAACCCAAATAGGTAATTGAAGCTTTACAGAAATCACTTTTATGTAAGTTTACAGTAAAATTAACTTCAGACAATTTTCTAAAAAGGTTAGTCAATTGAACAATATGTTCTTCAAAAGTATTAGAAAATACAACTATATCATCTATGTAGGCCTCACATTGGTCTATGTCAGCAATGACAGAGTTAATGACTCTCTGGAAAGTTTGACCAGCATTTCGCATACCAAAGGGCATACGTTTGTATCTATAAAAACCATTAGGGGTTACAAAAGCAGATATTTCTTTTGCACGGTCAGATAAGGGGATTTGCCAGTATCCTGAAAGTAAATCAATTTTGGAAATTATCTTAGCTTGACCAACTTTATCAATAACGTCTTCTATCCGAGGTAATGGATAGGAATCAGCTTTGGTGAGCGCATTCACCTTCCTAAAGTCGGTCACAAACCTGAAAGATCCACCGTCTTTCGGTACTAGGAGACATGGGGAACTCCAGTTGCTGAAACTGGGCTCAATGATATCATTCTTGAGCATATAATCAATTTCATCTTTTATCAAAGCAGCTTTTTCCGGGTTAACTCTATAGGGGTGTTGTTTAATGGGTTTTGCGTCACCAACGTCTACATCATGAGGTGGTACTTTCGCTTCTTTGGGGACATCCCCAAAAATAGAGGGAAATGTCTCAAACAACTGAGACAACCTATGGCTTTCCTCTGTGGACAAATGCATAAGGTGGACATTCAAATTATCTAAAAAGGAAGAATTTACCAATTTTGGGGGTTTCAATTTATCATGTATCACATCATCAGAAACATTTGAACATACAGGTAAAGTAATTTTATCTGTGGATTGAAAATTGTTACAATTATCATAATACTTTTTCAGTGAGTTGACATGATACACTGTCTGTTTCTTTCTTCTGTCGGGCGTATTGACAACATAGTTCAAATCACTTAATTTTGAATGCACAGTAAAGGGTCCACAATATCTCAAGGATAACGCATTGTTCAGATTAGGCACTAGCACAAGAACTTTGTCGCCTGGATTGAATGTTCGTTTACAAGAACTCTTATCATACAGTCCTTTCATTCTCACTTGGGCCTTTCTTAAGTTCTTGTGAGCCATTTCGCACACGGCTTTCAGTCGAACGTGAAAATCGTCGAAGTTTTCCACTGGATGATCACTGGTACCTGTCCAACGTTCGTGTATCAGCTTCAGGGGGCCACGGACAGAATGTCCAAACACAAGTTGAAAAGGCGAGTAACCTAAAGAGTCCTGGACACAGTCCCTCGCGGCGAAAATAATCCAAGGAACAGACTCATCCCATTGGGTGTTACTGTTAGCGAATGTCCTTAGCATGGTTTTGAGGGTTTGGTGGAACCTCTCAAGTACGCCTTGAGACTGAGGGTGGTAGGCTGAGCTGGTGATGTGGGTAACGCCTAACTTGGCTAGCGCTTCCTGAAAATGGTGACTGGTGAAGTTGCTGCCTTGATCTGTTTGCACGATTCTAGGTACTCCAAAGGTAGTGAAGAACCGGGTCATGGCTCTGACTACAGTCTTTGCCTTAATGTTCCGTAAGGGAATCGCCTCGGGAAAACGGGTACTTGAACACATAAAGGTAAGTAGGTACTCGTTGCCCGCCTTGGTTTTAGGCAAGGGACCTACACAGTCCATGACGATTTTAGAAAAAGGTTCTTCTAATACAGGAATCGGACTCAAAGGGGCCTTAGGAATTGTCTGGTTTGGCTTTCCGGCCAACTGACAGTTCGTGCAACTTCTGCAGTAACGCGACACATCATTTCTCATTTTGGGCCAAAAGAACAGTTCTTTGATCTTCGCCGTCGTTTTAGTGACTCCTGGGTGCGCTGACATTGGATGGTCATGTGCCAGCTTAAGTATTTCATGCCGATAAGGTGGAGGGATCCACAGCTGGTTTTTACCCAACCATGGTTCGGCCGGTGAGGCAATCACTGGTATAGCGCGACGAAAGAAGAGGCCGTTCTCGGAGAAATATTCTCCATCGTCAGATGATAGAGATTTTTCGACCGTTGCCTTGAGTTCCGCGTCGACTTGCTGAGCTTTAATGATGTCTTCCTGAGATATCCTCAGGGGTAAGCCCAGGCTTGTGTTTTCTGGAAGCATAGACTCCAGTTTGGGAGTCGAATTTCTTGACGATGATGGCGGGTGTGGTTCAGACGTTGTGTCAGCCAATTGTTTGGTCTGGCTTCTTGTCACCGCACATGCAGGATACAGTTCATTATCATTATCTGGAACTGTTGACAAAGGGTCTGAAACCGTACAGGGGTATACTTTGCTTCCCGCAAGGTCATTCCCTAGAAGTAGGTGTACTCCTGGGACTGGAATACTATCTATCACACCTAAAATGACCTCACCTTCGACGAGATGATGTTTCAAGGCAAACTTGTGTAGAGGGACGACAGTAGATTTTGTCCCCACTCCCTGGATAATGGAAATCCTTCCGGTGTTCGTCTCTGGTGAAATGTCCATTGAACTTTTCAAAAGGAGTGATTGTGACGCTCCTGTGTCTCTTAGGACGGTGATATTCTTCTGAGACAACGGATCACCTGGTTTGCTAATGATGGCTTCGGCAATAAAAGATGAAAAGTCAACTTTTCTCGATCCCTCGAGATCGGTAGACTCGGCAGAAACTGGATGGTGGCGAGAACAGTCAAAATGTGACTGCACATAATGTGTGGAGACTTGACTACCTTCTTGCGGACACTTAGGGTTAGAGTCCTTTTGAATTCTAGAGTTCATAGTTGAACTGGCTGCTTGAGGGGATAGAGCATAGTGCGCGGAAGTACGCACCACCTCCCTGTTATTCTGAAGACGTTTGTAACAGTCCTTGACATGGTGACCAGGCCTTTTGCAGAACTGGCATACCGCTCGACGATTGAGAGTTGATCTTGGTTTCTCTCTGGACTGTGATGCCTTCAAATGTTGGCCAACAGGATGATTGCTGCCAAAAAGGGGAAGCACGGGGTTGAGGCGGTTTCCTGACACTGGTGGTTTCCTATGCACCAACATATATGTGTCAGCCGACTCAGCAGCCTTCTGGATGTCAGTTATCTTGTTATCCAGAATGTGTAGTCGTATCTCTTCAGGCAGGGACGATAGGAATTCTTCCCTTAGGATAAGTGACCTCAGTTTCTCAAACTCAGAAACTTCCTCCGAGTGTAGCCACCTTGAAAATATTTTCTCCTTTTCAAAGAGAAATTCCACATATGATTGTGTGGGTAACTTGCGGAGTGTACGGAATTTTGTCCGATAGGCCTCGGGCGTCAGTGCGTAGGCCTTTAAAATGGCAGTCTTGACCAAACTATAGTTATTTTGAACGTCGTGAGAGAGTGCCTGGTATGTTTTTGCAGCTTTCCCAGTAAGGACAGAGCTCAATAAAGCAGTAATGGAAGATTCGGGCCATTCACATGTCTTCGCTAAACTCTCAAACGAGTTAAAGAAAACGACCAAATCTGTTTCATCAAATTTAGGAACTAATTTCCCAAATTTGGCAATCACTTGCCCTACCGACAACTTTTTTGGATCTACCAGAGAAGTGACATCACTAACTTTACCCAATTCTGATTCCAACCTCCTCCTATCTAAAGCAATTTTAACTTCCAACTCCTGTTCTTTTAATGCCTTCTCTAAAGCAACTTTCTCCTCGCGGAGTAACACACCAGCCAACAAACTTTCATCAAATACCCCTTCATTAATGAAATGAACAACAATTTTATCTCTCAACACCTCTGACTTCTGCGTAACAGAATAATCCAATTTCAATTCCTTAACAACACTAACCAAAACTTTTCTACTCAACTTTTCTACATCTTCAACAGTAGGATTAGCCAAAAAAGACTCCATAACACTAACTTTCAAATCACAACAAGCCTAGATCCTTTAAATTAATACACAGCGTTGGGCCGTGTACTTGACCTCTAAATGTAGGACGTGACACGTCTGCTTATTTGACCTAGATACTCTAGCCTGAGCGCGCGTTGTAAGACCACGGCGCTACACTGGATATAAAAACAACTAAATCCAACTAACCTTAGTATTCAACTGATATAAACAACAACTGGAACGACAGATTAAATCTCGGCGAGCCCCCACTTTGTAACGTTAACCTATCTATCAGCCAAATAGAAGGAGAACGTCCCCGGATTCTTTTTTCGGGGTCATATGCAAATGCCTTACGGCCTAAGTGGATGAACACTTAACACAACGACCACTAGGGCTCGAATTTAATGTCTAGGGAAGCTAGTGATACTATTGTAATTAACACTCATCCAATCTACATACGACCTTTTAATCAGCGAACTCAGTTGTGGCAGAACACAAAGATGAACTAGATAAAATATTTAATGTATAAAATATCAAAAACCCAACTTACACAATGTAGGAAAAAACACTATCACAGATTTCTACACTGTCTAAGGAACAGCTACAGGCCACACAACACTGCTGTAGCTTCAAGACTTACTTAGCGACAAGTAATATTAAACTAGAAGACTAAATCAACTGAAGAAAGCAAGGCACACACAGGTCTTAAGTACTCTCACGTTCAAATGGTCAGAGTCTATAGCCGGACAATATGGACGGCTGTCTGATCAAGGTAAAACTGCCTCGTAGACTGCCAGGTCAAGATAAACTGCCTCGTGTTGCGAGTGTGCAGAGCAATTAAAGACTTCTGTGACAGGGGAGGTTATCCTCAACTCATGTCGCCATTGGTTGGGATAATCATCTGATCAGAATCATGCAATCAGATTTTAATGGAAAATTTCTATGTCTCAAACACCTTAATAAGTCAGTGGAAAAACCCCAGGTGTTACACCATCATTCCATATAAGGAATTATACAATGTCAAAATAAAAATGACTCGACCTAAGTAGGTCACAACATACAGCCCTGATACACAACATATAGTCCTTATACACAACATACAGCCCTGATACACAACATATAGCCCTTATACACAACATATAGCCCTTATACACAACATACAGCCCTGATACACAATATATACACAACATACAGTCCTGATACACAACATATACACAACATACAGCCCTGATACACAACATATACACAACATACAGCCCTGATACACAACATACAGCTCTGATACACAACATACAGCCCTGATACACAACATATACACAACATACAGCCCTGATACCCCCAACATGGCGCTGAAGTGGAACCCACCCGGAAAGAGAAGTAGAGGAAGACCACTGGGAACATGGAGGAGGGAGATGGAAGAAGAAGTACAGGCTACTGGCAAAACCTGGCATGAACTAAAGTGGCTCGCCCAGGACAGGGTGGAATGGCGGAGATTTGTTGTTGCCCTATACTCCACAGGGAGTGATGAGGATTAAGAGAGAAGAGACAGCCCTGATACACAACATATAGCCCTGATACACAACATATACACAACATACAGCCCTGATACACAACATACAGCCCTGATACACAACATATACACAACATACAGCCCTGATACACAACATATACACAACATACAGCCCTGATACACAACATATACACAACATACAGCCCTAATACACAACATACAGCCCTGATACACAACATACAGCCCACACTATACAGCCCTGATACACAACATATACACAACATACAGCCCTGATACACAACATACAGCCCTGATACACAACATATACACAACATACAGCCCTGATACACAACATATACACAACATACAGCCCTGATACACAACATACAGCCCTGATACACAACATATACACAACATACAGCCCTGATACACAACATATACACAACATACAGCCCTGATACACAACATACAGCCCTGATACACAACATATACACAACATACAGCCCTGATACACAACATATACACAACATACAGCCCTGATACACAACATATACACAACATACAGCCCTGATACACAACATACAGCCCTGATACACAACATACAGCCCACACTATACAGCCCTGATACACAACATATACACAACATACAGCCCTGATACACAACATACAGCCCACACTATACAGCCCTGATACACCACATATAGCCCTGATACACAACATACAGCCCTGATACACAACATACAGCCCTGATACACAACATATACACAACATATAGCCCTGATACACAACATACAGCCCTGATACACAACATATACACAACATATAGCCCTGATACACAACATATAGCCCTGATACACAACATACAGCCCTGATACACAACATACAGCCCTGATACACAACATACAGCCCTGATACACAACATATACACAACATATAGCCCTGATACACAACATATAGCCCTGATACACAACATACAGCCCTGATACACAACATACAGCCCTGATACACAACATACAGCCCTGATACACAACATATACACACCATACAGCCCTGATACACAACATATAGCCCTGATACACAACATATAGCCCTGATACTGTTGGGTACTGTTTGCTTTCAGCCCTGCCCCTAGGAATTATTGTTGTTGATAACAATGCAGACTTAGAGCAAGTCAGAGAGGAAATAAACAGGATGTTCTCTGTAAGCCTTGTCATGCCATCTCTATGTTCTCTGTCAGTCTTGTCATGCCATCTCTATGTTCTCTGTCAGTCTTGTCATGCCATCTCTATGTTCTCTGTCAGTCTTGTCATGCCACCATCTCTATGTTCTCTGTCAGTCTTGTCATGCCATCTCTATGTTCTCTGTCAGTCTTGTCATGCCATCATCTCTATGTTCTCTGTCAGTCTTGTCATGCCACCATCTCTATGTTCTCTGTCAGTCTTGCATGGCATCTCTATGTTCTCTGTCAGTCTTGTCATGCCACCATCTCTATGTTCTCTGTCAGTCTTGTCATGCCATCTCTATGTTCTCTGTCAGTCTTGTCATGCCATCTCTATGTTCTCTGTCAGTCTTGTCATGCCACCATCTCTATGTTCTCTGTAAGCCTTGTCATGCCATCTCTATGTTCTCTGTCAGTCTTGTCATGCCACCATCTCTATGTTCTCTGTCAGTCTTGTCATGCCATCTCTATGTTCTCTGTAAGCCTTGTCATGCCATCTCTATGTTCTCTGTCAGTCTTGTCATGCCATCTCTATGTTCTCTGTCAGTCTTGTCATGCCACCTTCTCTATGTTCTCTGTCAGTCTTGTCATGCCACCATCTCTATGTTCTCTGTCAGTCTTGTCATGCCACCATCTCTATGTTCTCTGTCAGTCTTGTCATGCCACCATCTCTATGTTCTCTGTCAGTCTTGTCATGCCATCTCTATGTTCTCTGTCAGTCTTGTCATGCCACCATCTCTATGTTCTCTGTCAGTCTTGTCATGCCACCATCTCTATGTTCTCTGTCAGTCTTGTCATGCCATCTCTATATTCTCTGTCAGTCTTGTCATGCCACCATCTCTATGTTCTCTGTCAGTCTTATCATGCCATCTCTATGTTCTCTGTCAGTCTTGTCATGCCACCATCTCTATGTTCTCTGTCAGTCTTGTCATGCCACCATCTCTATGTTCTCTGTCAGTCTTGTCATGCCACCATCTCTATGTTCTCTGTCAGTCTTGTCATGCCACCATCTCTATGTTCTCTGTCAATCTTGTCATGCCACCATCTCTATGTTCTCTGCCAGTCTTGTCATGCCATCTCTATGTTCTCTGTCAGTCTTGTCATGCCACCATCTCTATGTTCTCTGTCAGTCTTGTCATGCCATCTCTATGTTCTCTGTCAGTCTTGTCATGCCACCATCTTTATGTTCTCTGTCAGTCTTGTCATGCCACCATCTCTATGTTCTCTGTCAGTCTTGTCATGCCACCATCTCTATGTTCTCTGTCAGTCTTGTCATGCCACCATCTCTATGTTCTCTGTCAGTCTTGTCATGCCATCTCTATGTTCTCTGTCAGTCTTGTCATGCCAAAACTCTATGTTCTCTGTCAGTCTTGTCATGCCATCTCTATGTTCTCTGTCAGTCTTGTCATGCCACCATCTCTATGTTCTCTGTCAGTCTTGTCATGCCACCATCTCTATGTTCTCTGTCAGTCTTGTCATGCCATCTCTATGTTCTCTGTCAGTCTTGTCATGCCACCATCTCTATGTTCTCTGTCACTCTTGTCATGCCACCATCTCTATGTTCTCTGTCAGTCTTGTCATGCCACCATCTCTATGTTCTCTGTCAGTCTTGTCATGCCACCATCTCTATGTTCTCTGTCAGTCTTGTCATGCCACCATCTCTATGTTCTCTGTCAGTCTTGTCATGCCACCATCTCTATGTTCTCTGTAAGTCTTGTCATGCCACCATCTCTATGTTCTCTGTCAGTCTTGTCATGCCATCTCTATGTTCTCTGTCAGTCTTGTCATGCCACCATCTCTATGTTCTCTGTCAGTCTTGTCATGCCATCTCTATGTTCTCTGTCAGTCTTGTCATGCCATCTCTATGTTCTCTGTCACTCTTGTCATGCCACCATCTCTATGTTCTCTGTCAGTCTTGTCATGCCACCATCTCTATGTTCTCTGTCAGTCTTGTCATGCCACCATCTCTATGTTCTCTGTCAGTCTTGTCATGCCACCATCTCTATGTTCTCATTCAGTCTTGTCATGCCACCATCTCTATGTTCTCTGTCAGTCTTGTCATGCCATCTCTATGTTCTCTGTCACTCTTGTCATGCCACCATCTCTATGTTCTCTGTCACTCTTGTCATGCCATCTCTATGTTCTCTGTCAGTCTTGTCATGCCACCATCTCTATGTTCTCTGTCAGTCTTGTCATGCCACCATCTCTATGTTCTCTGTCAGTCTTGTCATGCCACCATCTCTATGTTCTCTGTCACTCTTGTCATGCCATCTCTATGTTCTCTGTCAGTCTTGTCATGCCACCATCTCTATGTTCTCTGTCAGTCTTGTCATGCCACCATCTCTATGTTCTCTGTCAGTCTTGTCATGCCACCATCTCTATGTTCTCTGTCAGTCTTGTCATGCCACCATCTCTATGTTCTCTGTCAGTCTTGTCATGCCATCTCTATGTTCTCTGTCAGTCTTGTCATGCCATCTCTATGTTCTCTGTCAGTCTTGTCATGCCATCTCTATGTTCTCTGTCAGTCTTGTCATGCCATCATCTCTATGTTCTCTGTCAGTCTTGTCATGCCACCATCTCTATGTTCTCTGTCAGTCTTGCATGGCATCTCTATGTTCTCTGTCAGTCTTGTCATGCCACCATCTCTATGTTCTCTGTCAGTCTTGTCATGCCATCTCTATGTTCTCTGTCAGTCTTGTCATGCCATCTCTATGTTCTCTGTCAGTCTTGTCATGCCACCATCTCTATGTTCTCTGTAAGCCTTGTCATGCCATCTCTATGTTCTCTGTCAGTCTTGTCATGCCACCATCTCTATGTTCTCTGTCAGTCTTGTCATGCCATCTCTATGTTCTCTGTAAGCCTTGTCATGCCATCTCTATGTTCTCTGTCAGTCTTGTCATGCCATCTCTATGTTCTCTGTCAGTCTTGTCATGCCACCTTCTCTATGTTCTCTGTCAGTCTTGTCATGCCACCATCTCTATGTTCTCTGTCAGTCTTGTCATGCCACCATCTCTATGTTCTCTGTCAGTCTTGTCATGCCACCATCTCTATGTTCTCTGTCAGTCTTGTCATGCCATCTCTATGTTCTCTGTCAGTCTTGTCATGCCACCATCTCTATGTTCTCTGTCAGTCTTGTCATGCCACCATCTCTATGTTCTCTGTCAGTCTTGTCATGCCATCTCTATATTCTCTGTCAGTCTTGTCATGCCACCATCTCTATGTTCTCTGTCAGTCTTATCATGCCATCTCTATGTTCTCTGTCAGTCTTGTCATGCCACCATCTCTATGTTCTCTGTCAGTCTTGTCATGCCACCATCTCTATGTTCTCTGTCAGTCTTGTCATGCCACCATCTCTATGTTCTCTGTCAGTCTTGTCATGCCACCATCTCTATGTTCTCTGTCAATCTTGTCATGCCACCATCTCTATGTTCTCTGCCAGTCTTGTCATGCCATCTCTATGTTCTCTGTCAGTCTTGTCATGCCACCATCTCTATGTTCTCTGTCAGTCTTGTCATGCCATCTCTATGTTCTCTGTCAGTCTTGTCATGCCACCATCTTTATGTTCTCTGTCAGTCTTGTCATGCCACCATCTCTATGTTCTCTGTCAGTCTTGTCATGCCACCATCTCTATGTTCTCTGTCAGTCTTGTCATGCCACCATCTCTATGTTCTCTGTCAGTCTTGTCATGCCATCTCTATGTTCTCTGTCAGTCTTGTCATGCCAAAACTCTATGTTCTCTGTCAGTCTTGTCATGCCATCTCTATGTTCTCTGTCAGTCTTGTCATGCCACCATCTCTATGTTCTCTGTCAGTCTTGTCATGCCACCATCTCTATGTTCTCTGTCAGTCTTGTCATGCCATCTCTATGTTCTCTGTCAGTCTTGTCATGCCACCATCTCTATGTTCTCTGTCACTCTTGTCATGCCACCATCTCTATGTTCTCTGTCAGTCTTGTCATGCCACCATCTCTATGTTCTCTGTCAGTCTTGTCATGCCACCATCTCTATGTTCTCTGTCAGTCTTGTCATGCCACCATCTCTATGTTCTCTGTCAGTCTTGTCATGCCACCATCTCTATGTTCTCTGTAAGTCTTGTCATGCCACCATCTCTATGTTCTCTGTCAGTCTTGTCATGCCATCTCTATGTTCTCTGTCAGTCTTGTCATGCCACCATCTCTATGTTCTCTGTCAGTCTTGTCATGCCATCTCTATGTTCTCTGTCAGTCTTGTCATGCCATCTCTATGTTCTCTGTCACTCTTGTCATGCCACCATCTCTATGTTCTCTGTCAGTCTTGTCATGCCACCATCTCTATGTTCTCTGTCAGTCTTGTCATGCCACCATCTCTATGTTCTCTGTCAGTCTTGTCATGCCACCATCTCTATGTTCTCATTCAGTCTTGTCATGCCACCATCTCTATGTTCTCTGTCAGTCTTGTCATGCCATCTCTATGTTCTCTGTCACTCTTGTCATGCCACCATCTCTATGTTCTCTGTCACTCTTGTCATGCCATCTCTATGTTCTCTGTCAGTCTTGTCATGCCACCATCTCTATGTTCTCTGTCAGTCTTGTCATGCCACCATCTCTATGTTCTCTGTCAGTCTTGTCATGCCACCATCTCTATGTTCTCTGTCACTCTTGTCATGCCATCTCTATGTTCTCTGTCAGTCTTGTCATGCCACCATCTCTATGTTCTCTGTCAGTCTTGTCATGCCACCATCTCTATGTTCTCTGTCAGTCTTGTCATGCCACCATCTCTATGTTCTCTGTCAGTCTTGTCATGCCACCATCTCTATGTTCTCTGTCAGTCTTGTCATGCCATCTCTATGTTCTCTGTCAGTCTTGTCATGCCATCTCTATGTTCTCTGTCAGTCTTGTCATGCCATCTCTATGTTCTCTGTCAGTCTTGTCATGCCATCATCTCTATGTTCTCTGTCAGTCTTGTCATGCCACCATCTCTATGTTCTCTGTCAGTCTTGCATGG